CAGCTGTCACTCTTGGTAGACGAATCTCACTGGGAATTTTGAATACATGCAGATAGACTGATGTATTTTTGACTAACTTATCCTCGTTGACATTGCAGCTACATCCGCCCTCTGTTTAGGGCCGAGTGTACGCTAGAATACTGCGGTTGATTTTGTACCGAAAGACAGTCGTTCAGAGTAGACTATCGGTGATCGAACTTTGTTGTCACCTCCAACTCGCGATAGTATAAGTGCACAAATAAACAAGGAATAGAGAGATAGAATGAAGAGTTCTAAATAAGTGCTCCATCTTCATAGATTTTTGTGGCTGGATCATGTATTATGCAACTCTCCGGGTAAACTTCGTCAGGTGATGTTTTTTGCAACGAATAATATATATATATATATATGCCTCGTCGACAATTGAACTCCCATTTCTAAAGTTTTTCATGTGTGAAAATGTTTCCGTTCGATGACCATTTAATTCCTGTTGATTCCGGTCTTCGTTTTTAGTATGTCGTGGTCAAACCTTCTCAACTTGAAGTCCTACGTGGCATGTTTGTGCCTTCATGTCACAATTGTGGCTGGCCGGAGCTCCAGCAAGCTGTCGGAATCGTGGGTGCGGTTGTCATGCCACACAATTTTTATCTTCATTCTGCATTGGTCAATTCTCGTGAGATCGATCGGACGCACCGACACAAGGTTTGTAAAGTGGCTTGAGTCTGTGCGGGAACTCGAATTCCGACTTTTATATTGCAGACCATTGCATTGCCCATTTGTGTCAGAATAAAACCTGTTTTTCGACGAAAGTGATCTAAATAATTGGGGAATTAGGAATGAAACGACAATCAGGAGGAAAGTATTTCTTGTGAGGGTCGTATGCCCAGTCTAAATCCATTGTTTTATTTACATTGCTTGATAGTTATACGGCTGATCACTCTCTTTTTCCGAAAGTTGTGTGTGCAATTATATATTCAATAGATACGTTATAGAATAATGAAGAAGTTCGGAAGATTATTTTTTGATGGATTTTCTTTTTGTTTATATTCGAACTTGCAGATTCGCGAAGCCAATATGTATTTTTTCATCGAATCCGCTATTGCCTTACTCGTCTCGCTCATCATCAATGTTTTTGTGGTCTCCGTGTTCGGTGCGGGATTCTACGGGAAGAACACTACTGAAGTGGTACGTTTGTCTCTCTCTTCGTTTCACATTCGTCCTAAGCAATTCACACTCAGTAATAAGCACTATCAAGACCAGTGCTAGTGTAAATTGCCTAAAGCGGATTATTGGTTTTCTCGTTTGTTCTGTCGTATATTTTATGGAACTAATGAATCAATTCACGAAACACATTGGGATGACCAAATTCGAATGTATTTTTTCCAGTTCGCGTTCGTGGTTCCCGTACACTTGTTAATCATAACAAGACGTGTATTGAAAAAAATTCTACACCATCGCCAACCATGATATGCTTATGGGTACGATTACAAATGTACATTGGGTACTGGATTGCGCATAACTTGTCGCACTATTTTAGCTTTAGATTTTACCCACATAACTTTTTCAACCGCATCCGTGGGTACTAAGCAATCTCCAGCACCTTATCGACTTCCTTTTTTCTCCTGATTTTTTTTTCACCTGTTCAGTTTGCAAACTGCTCCGCTCGGGGTGACATTCCCTCCAAGTTCATTGATGCGGTGAGTCAATGCGTTGCCCACGTACACATTTCGTTGTCTTTACATATTCCACTATGCTCACTTGTAATTCATAGTCCCATTCGCGAGTGAGCCTTGCGTGCCCGAACGACCTCCAGCTATGCCATTCAAAGCATTTATCGTGCGCTTTTGGACGACAAATTGTTCCACGAAGCAGTTACACTGACTTACGTGTTGATGAGTTCCAATCTGATCGGTCCCAACTGTGCTTTAGTTGATAACTCACTGTAGCGCGACATCGTCGATATTAACGTGTTAGGTGATTCGGTCACACCCGTGCCTGATAGCTGGTCTCCTCAAAACGGTATTAAATCAGCTGGCACAAGTGGCTCATGTGTATCCTGTTGTGACTGTCCCATGACTATATAGAACTCAATTTGTTTTTGGGGCAGCATACTGGTAACCGCTAAGACAGATCTTCTGTTCTACTGTTTATCCGACGAGGTTGTATAGTGGAAAATAAATGTATTAATTACACAATAATGATTACTGCTATTGTTATTAATATGCGAACAGGTATTGTCGATTTTGATGAACCCAAAACACGGAGCGTATGTTGCATCTGTATCATTGCCAATGGGGATCGACCGTTGTTTGTTGTCCGGGCTTCTGAAGTAACATCTGGAGGATGCATTTTAAGCTGCATAATTCGCTCATATCCTGGACGTTTTCCACTCCATCCGAAAATTTTAGCGAAGTCATGTACCGCGAAATAGTCCGTAATATTCTTTAGAAAAATACATTGCACCAGAAATTATTGGTGTCAACCCACTCTGGGCACCATTCTGTCTATATTTTTCCCAATCTTTACCTTTCATTTGAATAAAACAAGTAACATAAAATGAGCAGAATTGATATTGGCCATCAATTTCGCGTGCTTTCAATCAGCTGTCTACGCACATTAAATAGATCGAATTTTATCATAAGAATACCATATATGGACATTTACATAATTACATGGGTTCAGACAGAAGGCATTGGGTTGTTGAGTCATTACGAAAGTCATTTGGATATGGGTGAAATGACTTTCGTAATGGCTCAACAACCCAATGCCTCCTGTCTGAACCCATGTAATTATGTAAATGTCCATATATGGTATTCTTATGATAAAATTCGATCTATTTAATGTGCGTAGACAGCTGATTGAGAGCACGCGAAATTGATGGCCAATATCAATTCTGCTCATTTTGTGTTACTTGTTTTATTCAAATGGATCAAAGGGAAAGGATATTTCCGATATTTCATAGAGCACCTTTTTACCTTTCTCTTCAGACAACCAATTTCGATCCGGCTGATGTTGATCTGTACACGGGAGTAAGTTTGCCAGTTTGATCCCATCATCAGTGCTTCATTCTAATCGAACGATATTCTCTGCAATCGTGAGCTCTCAATCTCGCTGTGTGTGTCTGTTTGTCTAACCCTTGACCACTCATTATGACGACTTCAAGTGATCTCGGAACTTGATGTTCCATTCCTGTTTTTTTTAATTATTGGGTCCTCTTCATCCACTATGTTCGAACAGAGAGAAGATGAATACTGCGAGATGTTAAAACTGCTTTTAGTCTCCTCAGTCGCTACAACGGAAAACAATCTGGTATTCATACAAGAATGTTTTGATAACGGCAGTGGTTAAATGGACACCAGTCAGGAGAGAGGAGAATGCGAAGCATTGCCACGGTAATTTGACTGATTGCGCCAGAAACGTTTGTGTACACAAAATTGGATTACATAACTTGATTAACATCGAGTCGCTGAAGGCTAAGAGCCTTCGATTCATGTTACGTAACCACGGCTTAAACGACAAAAGTGGGTCAACGGGGTATCCAGTTGTCGTGACATGTTTTGCGAATGATGACCCTGGATTTCTCTTATCAAGTTGACCTCTGAGATTTTGTTGCATCATTGATCGTAATAACCACTTGGGAATGTGTTCAGACATCCGCTGTGACAGGGACCGATTCGTTGTGGCGATGTAAGTGTCATCGCAACTGCAGTTGAACTGAAAAATAACATGCGAAGTAGAATTGGGTGGCCGGCTCTGTTTTCGGTTTTCCAGACGAATCCCCTTGGTGTACGGTATCAGTTGAAGCTGTGAGGCAGGGAATGTTCGACACAATGCTACCTTGAACTTTTGACGCATGTCGTTCATTAGATGATCTCCCTTGAAGGCCAGTTTGAAGAAGACGCATTTTTGACGTACTTCGTAGACGGGATCAACCGGTGGCTTTCGTCTGCTATGCACACCAATATATTTTTCTTTATATTACTTATCCAGTAGCGTCCTTCTTAGAAAGGCTTCTTCTTGAAGCGCTTCAAGAGAACAAATATTCCTGGTACGACAGAACAGGGTTTTCAGCGAACCTCTTTTGTACGCC